GTACAGCAAACAGGTAACTTGCTTGATGCAGAGGTTGTTGTATCTGAATTGGCCCCAAGCACCTGACTAGCTTTAGCAGATGAGACCACATCCATATGCATTTGCTCTGCAGGCTTCACCACCTGATTGTCATCAACAGCACCAAAAATCTTCATAACCTTAAAAGTAGCCTCAAGATTGGTCTCCTCAGCCTCTCCATTTATCTTGTCAGAGTGTATAGCTTACAATATAGAGATGAGAGCACCATCAGCCTCTATGGTTTGGGTATCATACTCCTTATGAGAAAGTTCAGGAAATATCTCTAAGTCTGAACCACCAGTTTGTCCAATAGGATCAACAGTCTGCTGGAGACTAACATTTTTTGGAGTAAAATACATCATCATGATTTGCTAGGTCCCTAGGCTGCTTAGAATGACTAGAATCTTCTCTTAGTTGAGAAAGTCTGACAATGTGTTGAGCATCAGTAGCCATTGGGTGCTGCTGAGGATTAAGGCTAGCAACCATCTTAAACATTTTCAAGAAAACATCAGAGTCATGCATTGGTTATGTTCTGTCTCTAGGCTCAGGAGAACCAGAATTCATGACTTGCTCATCAGTTTTTTTACCCTGATAGTCTAATGAGCTAGGCTTTGTAGTAGCTGAGGATGAAGGATGAGCTAGGGTTGCAAGACTCTAGCTAGCCATGACCCTCCTGGGATTCTGGATCTTCTTCATAAGTTACTGCATCTTCATCATCATCTAGTTCATCATCAGGTTTCATTGGTGGTTCCTTCTTGAGTTTGTCAAAATAGAACCAAGAAATTTTTCTGCCTTGTTTGTTAATGAACACTTTAGATGTCCCTCCAATCTGGCTAGGATTTTTGCACGCCACTTTAACCCATACATATTTCCACTGTAGGGAGGGGAAATGTATCTCTTCAGGGTCACCCACCAGCTGAGCCAACTCCATTACAACAAATTTAGATCTGGCAATCTTCAGGATCCCCACAGCTTTGACCCAGATAGATTGTAAAACTTGGAAAGCATCAGGCTCCCTAATAGTTTCTTCAATTACTGCCACAATATCTGCTGTAACAAACTTGATATTGCCCATTTGTCAGTAAATTCATCATAGCTCTTGAGGGGATGCTAACCAGAAATTCACTACCCGAAGTTCATTTGACATCCCAGTTCCATTCTGAGTCCACCAAATATTGCAATTCAGTTTTAATTCTTCCTTTAGTACCTCTACCCTCAAGGACACAGACAAGAGCTCTAATTAGAGTATCCATCACCGCTTTACCCTTGACATCTGGTTTTCCCTCAGGTAAATTCAGCAAATAAAACAGTTGGTCGGGCATGCCATAACCACATAGCTTTAGACCTCTATTAGACTTCAAGGGACATGGAGTGGATTTATGCCCGACATCTCTACAACTATAACAAAATGGAGGGTTCTTGCAAGTAGAACAATGATGGCCTTCCTCATTGCAATTAAAGCATTTCATCTAGTGAAACTGACCTGAGTTGAAGTCGCCAACCTACTGCGGATTATAGCCCCTCCGACTGTCCTCAAGCTTATGGTGGAGGTGTTCTTCTGTCATTTGCCTGACATCTCTGGCAGCTTGCTGATCCCCTGCCCGCTTGCACCCTTGGAAGTCTCTCGGATCACGAAATTGCTGGCGATTTTGTCTCTGGTCATGATCTCTATCACCATCCTCATAGAACTCACGTTGTTATCTCAAATCTCTGCTGCCTCCCTCTAAAAAATCACGGCGAGGTCGTCCATCATGACCTTGATAGGCATCACGCTCCTCCCGATAGTAGTTCTGCGAGCTATCTCTCCCATCTCTGTCATCACGAAAATGATCCTCTTGCCTCATGCCCCGCCCTTGGGGTTGCTTCTTGTTCATCGAGAGCTTGACTACCTCCACAAAAGCTCTACCGTCGGTGAGGACAGGGGTTACATGACGCAGGTGTTTTGCTTCCTCACCGAATCGCTGGATATCACTCGCGCTCGCCAGAAAATGCTCCGCCGATGGGTCCCAAACCCTAGCCGCCTCGACCCAGAACCAGCGAGATGGCCGGGGACGAGGGGATCTTGATTTGGCAGGGGGGTATGAGTGATCGAATAGCTCCTCAATACACGGGCCCAAATTTTGGGCCGGCCCAATAACCTTTTTGGCCTTTTCTGCTGTAGTCGGCTTCCTCCTCCTGCCCACCATCGCAGCAGTGCTCTGCTTCGGCAATGGTGGCTCTGAACTCTGCTTCGAACTCTAATCTCTATGGGGATGACCTGGTGAACGCAGTTCTTCAATGATTTGATCCGCAGACCGTCTGCACTCCGAATCCAACTCTGCAGCCTTGCTAGCCCATGAGAAATGAATTGGCAGATTGCCCACCACAATTGAATCAGGGTCCGTTGCTGCGATTGGGGGAAGATGTTGATTCTACAGACGGTGCTCTACGATCGAATCACACGGTTGAGAATGCTTAGGCAGCCCAAAAGCAACCTTAGTGATGTTGCGACGAGAACTCAATGGGGGGAAAATGTTCCGCATTCAACCAATCAATCAAATCCATCTCAAGATTCATCGGGGTAGCTCTAACACCGCTAGCAGATATGGGAGGAGTCTTCCTCACCGAGTTTTGATGCCCTCCCGAGCACGCTCCCGGATCCGGCGGCTTTCTGGGTCTGCATGACTTCTGGGGCGACACCGCGTATGGGGGGACGGCAAGCGTGAGCCTGCGGTTTCTCATATCGGCAATCGCGGCACGAACCAAACAGTTCAGTTGAAAGAGCGTCAAAGCGCGAGCAATCTCCCCTAGTTTTGGGGGAAGATTGCTGGCGAAATCAACGAGAGATCGCTAGCGGGAGGTTGCGGACGGTGCCGGGAGGGGAACGAAACAGAGCTCTAACCGGTCTCGCCTCCCCTCACATGGGATAAGTATTTGTCTGTATATAAATAAATTAATAAAAAGTTAAAAACATGGTGACAACAATGTAAATGCCATTTTTTCCCCATCGAATTTCGAATCCGCCTAAATTTCTCAATTCCTGGGACATCAACGAAACGGCGGACCACCAGTCCACCACATTGTTTGACGTCATCAGATGGAGAACAGAAAGGCCCGGCGCGGCGTTGCCTGGTACTGGTCTCGTCTCGTCGCCGCGCGCGTAGTCTCTGGTGCGGCGTCGACCGTCGTCATCGCAACGATGACAAGAGTCCCTGTGCCCTAGCGCTTTCCTTTCTTTCCCAGGCCTGCGGAGTACGCCGGCCGCCGGGTCTGTTCTGCCAACGGCCCGCTGATGTTTCCGGAAGTTCTTTTGATTTTGTCCCAAAGTTTCCGGGCCCAATTATCATACAGGGTGGTGGGCGCCGTTCGTTCATTCACCTTGCAAATTGACATGGGCCCGTTGGCTTCTGCTGCAAGCGGCATGCCGCGGCATCGGTTCCCTCTAAAAACTACGGCACCCACATCTGCTGCGGAAGCTGATATGTGCGCGTTTCTACGTTCTTTATTAGTTTTGTTTATTAAATTTATTTATAGCAAAATACATAAATAAATAAACCCTACGACATCAACGTATATTTATTAGATCCATTGTAAAATAATTTTTGATATTGAACTTTCTTAACATTGTACTCTAGATCTTCTAGATAAAAGGAATATTTTTTTTTAGAAACTTCGGATTCAATTAATGAACAATTATTTTTGGATACAAACGTCTTTCCGGGGGTGTAAGTAGCCACACATGTCTACCTAAACTAGCATAAATATTACTCCTTTGCTAAATTATGTGCATGTGTGTTATGTCGGCGATTCTCGTGAACGAGCCGTATCTCTTCGAATAAGGTTTCCTACGCCTTGATCTCCCAGATTATTTGTCTGCCATAAACTCCCAATGATCCTTCATTCAAACTTTTTATCACGGATTCACGGGTAGACAGTCAGACGCTACTAGATCCTACGGAGAAGCAAATCGCGTGATAAAGCTAATGCTTCTCTGCACGCTAAGGTTTAAAGGGATTCTGCATGGGTTATGCCATCAAATACCACTGCCGAGGCCCCCAAATACTTGGAGGGTTTTACCTATGTACTATTAAAAAAATATAGTCATTACCTACAGGTCATTAAAAAATTTACATGCACCTAGATGATATTCATCTAAACTTTTTTTTTTGGTCACCCAAGCCATTCCGTCCACTTTCCATCCGTTTTTTCCGTTTGTCAGCCCTTACATGTGGACCCGGCCAGTGAAAACGTCTAAAATGCCCTTATCTCATAACCCTATCCTCTTGCTTCTTTCTCTGTCTGCTCGGCGATGGCGTCAAGCGTCAGCGACCCACAAGCTTCTTCCTCAAGATGAGCAGTGGTGCGGCCGGATTCCAGAAGTTTCCACCACCGCGGCGATCGAACGTCGCCTGCGCATTGGTCTGGTCGTCAGCCCCCTCTGCCCGGCGCGCGTGCTCGAACAGCTTCCCTGATGCTCAAACTGTCACGCCCACCCCTCCGTCACGTACAGCTTCCCTCGTACCACGCCACCGCCACGCCCCGGCATGACACGGTCGGAGACCACCACCTCGCCTCCGGGGCGAACACCTCGGCTTCCTCGTCTTCCCTGGCCACCACCACCCGCCCTCCCACCTCGTAGGCCGCCATGTACCTGCGGGGCGTCCGCATCAATGCCGCCTCTTCCTAGCCGAAGCTAAACCCACCCCTGCTTCCACTCTCCTACGCGCGTGCACAATCGGCCAGGGCAGAAGGTTGAAAAAGGTCTATTTACATTTTAGCCCTCTCCTTTCCATCTTATCAGTTCACTATATCATGTGTCTTGTGAATCTTTCCGATAACCCCCTATTAAACTTTGCACATCGCAGCCCCTCCATTAGATGGCATTTGGTCAGCGAGGTGAGGGTATTTCGGGCTTTCTCCACTACAGGTTGACATCGTCTGATGTAAAAGTGGACAGAATGGTTTAGGTGAAAAGAAAAAACAAAGTTTAGGTGGATAGCAGATCAGAGATGAATCTCTATCTCTACTCCTCGTAAGACGAAATCGTTCAACAAGACTTCGGCCTGCCTCTCGACCTCGGCGTGCCTTCCGCTCCCTGCCTCCACCCCGCTCACTCGTGCGTTTCGGCCTGCTTCCCCTTCTCGCCCCCTCGCTCCTGCTGCCTCTGAGCCAATCTCACCCCCTTGGTTCACGCGCCCCGGCATCTCGCTAGCGCACGAGGCAGGCCTGGCGGAGTAGGCGAGGGGGAAGTGGGCGGCGACGACATGGTCGCCGACGCGGGCGCCTGGCGGTTTCATCTCTCCACGCCGGCCACCAACGACGACGGCACAACGACGATCCAGCGTGGTTGTGCCCGGGTCCAGCGGGCCTCCCCACCGTCCACAGCCGCCCCCACCCCCTCCCTCTCCCCACGCCAGCCACTATCGTCGACGGCGTGCTGATCCAATGTGGCTGTGCTCGAATCCGGCGGGGGGCATCATTTGATTCCGTTGGGCCCCAGCCCCGCGTCGGAGGGAGAGGTAGTCGCCGGTAGTCGATGAAGAGGCTATGGGCACGGCCTCCAACCATGACGAAGGACTGCACCACCTCAGCCTCCTCGCCTGCCCTGGGTCCCCGTGCCACACAAGCCTCCAAGTTTGCCCCCCACCGACAACCACTCTGCAGCAGACCAAGGTGAAGCATGCCTGCTCCCCTAATCAATTCTATTTACATTTTTAGATGAACTTTTGTACTTGGCTTTCCTCATCTTTCAATCTCCACATTAACTGATATATTGGGTTTCCTGATGTGTTTTCCTCATCTTTCAAACTCCACATTAACTGATATTGGGATCCCATTGTGCGTGCTATCATGCCTAATTTTGCATAGGGCTCATCTTGCATCAATGAGTACATACACAGATTATTTTTGGAGGTGGAGTTTGCTCTGTTTATCTTTCAGTGTCCAGTGTGGTGGATTTCTCCTGCAAGCTTGGGCAGTTTCCTATGGGTGATTGGCTGCAAGGATTAGGTTACTTGGCTGCAGCAAGGTAACATGGGGCACTGCTTTACTTCTGGCTTGGGTTTATGGTAGTGGCTCGGAGGAATTTTTGTTCTTGCAAAATTCTTGACGAAAAGCAACTAAGATTGTTCTGAAAGTATGGGTGGTTCATTTTCATTTATTTGCACACATATATTATTTTTAGGTTTAGCTGAAATACATTTTGGAACCATCTTGCAAACAATTACAAATTAGTGGGTTGTTGCTCTGCATCATTGATATATCATATTCATTTTTCATTGCAAACAATTATCTTTATGCCAGTTTGTCAAGTAAGCTAAGCATTACAGTCTACAAGTGCTGAGCTTCGATTGACAATATATATATATATATATATATATATATATATATATATATATATATATATATATATATATATATATATATATATATATCAGAAAGTTTCATTTAGTAACATTATGTATAAATGGTTTGCTACTTCAGAGAGGCTATATTTTGACATTGCATACCAAATTGATGAGTCCATGTTGATGAATGTTTCTGAAAAAATCGATTCTCTATGAGGATGAATACCTGCAGAGTTTGTCAGGTTCTCATATATGTTTTTATTAAGATTCCTGTTACTTAGACATTTAATAACATAATAAACTAGCAAAAATAGATTATAATATTTCCATCTGAAAAGTAAATTCTTTTGGTTATTTGTTGAAAATGCAGTGATCAGTAGCTTCATGAATTTCTTTATCTTGCCAGTTTTGGCAGTTAAAGAATTTGACTTGTGAATATGGACATCTAGAAATTTCCTTGATGCAACTTCAGCATTGTTTGTTATAGACTTCTTCTGTTACATCCTTTTTTCATTACTAGATTCGTGCCTGTGCGTTCCTACGGATTTCAATCCACATAAATTCAGCTAACACATATGAAAGAAATATCTTGTGTGTATTATGGTTTCGGAGTAATCGAAACACTACATATGAAACAAATGTCTTGATATGAGTACAAGCATGAGTAATCAAAACACCTTGTATGGTCAGATGTCTTATAAACATAGCTTGTAGTTTACTTTAACTAAGTGCCACCTTGGAAGCAAATGATTCAAAGTCTGCGTCATTCAATTTGAGAGATATCATAATATCCAAGGGCAGCTTCCAGGAACCTTGAAAAAAGGGCGTACCCAGTGCAGAGAGCTCCCGCTCTGTGCGGGGTCTGGGGAAGGGTGTTAGTGGCAAGCCTTACCCTCGCCTGTGCAATGCGAGGAGACCGCGACTCGAACCCAGGACCTTCCGGTCACAGGCGGTAAGACTCTACCGCCTGCATAAAAAAAATATATAATGCGGACTCGAGCTTTTAAAATGCAAAAAATATTTTATTGTTCCCAAAATAACAAACCTTGCACTATAAGTTTAGAACTTCCTGCTGGCTGTTGGTCACCAAAAATGAGTTCAGAAAAAACACTATGCATTGATGACAGACCAGAAAACAAGCACTAACTCTCTCATCACAAGCTTCAGGGCACTATCCTATTTAACAATATATGGCCTCACTTACAAAGCATGAGAAGTAGCGACTCAGAATGTCAAAACCAGAGATGAGGGAGTTGTTTTTGAGATTCACTGATTTTTATAGACTCAGTTAATTGGATTGTGGTTTAAAGAACTCATTTGGTCTTGAACTTGCAGTTCAACTATTGGGCACTGTGTTGTTATGCATCTGTTGTTATTTTCCATCTCTACCTTACCTTAATGTTTATTAATGAAGATGGTTTTTGTTATTTCATTCCACTGAATGCATTTAGAAATTATTTACAGCAAAGTACTTCACCTATTTTTTGTACTTTATGGACCTCTAGGCACATGGAAGAAATTGCTGGCATGTGTTGTTGCTCATCACACTGACTGCACCTTCATCAGGATTTCTTTTTCTGAGCTGGTTTTGGTTCAAAAGTATATCGAGGAATGCTGTCAGATGATTCATAAACTTTGTTATGGCCAGTAGGTTGTTCATTTGCCTGACCCATTCTAATTATCGGTTGTTTGGATGTCTTAACCATGTGTCTTTTTTAAATTCAGAAAGTTAAGCTTCATTGGGAGCTATTAGGCACTTTAACCTGGAATTTCAGCTGTAATTCCCCTGGTTAATAATAAGTCTCCAAAACATGTATGTTAATAATTCGGTGGAGTAGGGGTGCACACACCACCAAAACCACAGCCAAGCACATCAGTTTCCTCCTGCCCATGGCCAAGGCCATCTTTGGTTAGATGCGAGACTGTGTCCAACCGATTGGATTGAACTATGCATCGATACAGGTAGAATTTTTTTCGTTCCTGTCTTATAGAACCAAATGGTGGCAGACTTGCCTGGCATAGCCCAGGCTGGCCGACAGTCTTGCCTAGCACTAGCTATTACCTATCTCCCGGTCCAAGCTCAGTTTGTTTTGCTGGCTTTACAAGTGAAGAAACATTTTGATATGCGAAACTGATTGAGTCTCAGCATCCTATCCTAAGTAAATGAAGCTGGAAGCTGAAAATTTGATATTGAACCATGTTTCAATTTTTCATCTTCTGTGTTCCTATTATCTGTGCAACTAACATATTTGTATTAGTTATTAGGATGTAAGGGACCTTACATACTATCATGGATCAATGCAGGTGGCTACAATGTAAGGCAGGATGATGGTGTCAAAGCTGGTGAAGCATGAGCGCATTGACACTTCTGTCAAAAAGTTATTTCTCTTGCACACTGTCGTTTATTTGAGTGGGTACATGTGGTGGGCGGGCAGGATTTGTGTTTCAGGATTTCTATCGTTGAATTTCATGGATCAATGCAGGTGGCTACAATGTAAGGCAGGATGATGGTGTCAAAGCTGGTGAAGCATGAGCGCATTGACACTTCTGTCAAAAAGTTATTTCTCTTGCACACTGTCGTTTATTTGAGTGGGTACATGTGGTGGGCGGGCAGGATTTGTGTTTCAGGATTTCTATCGTTGAATTTCGGTGTGGTTCATTTCAAGCAATGGGAGATATGGAGGAAGGCGTCAGATTGAATTGCTAGGGAAGGAGGTAGTAATTAGAACACTTTTCCCCTGGTGCTAATTAAATTCCATCCTCAAATATCGTGGTGTTCCATGGTATCCACGAATCTGTACAGCCACAGTGGGTGTAAACAACTTCGCAATAATTTGTGAACTATGCACATGATAGAATAATTGTAAGAAAGGAATCACTTAGAATTTAGATTTGGGGATGCGACTTCACTAGATCTGTATGCATTGTTGCCAAAACTGGAGTTGGACAATATCAGACACTGGCTAGCAGTTTTGGTGTCCTGTCTGTTGTTTGACATTCAACTTCAAGGGAGATCTATATGTTTACATGTGGTTTCTTTTTTCTCTTTTGCATAGAAAAAATTTGGTGCGCCCCCTAGCAACGCAAGGGCATCTGCTAGTCTACTCTAAAAAAGGAAACAGGACTCTTTCACTCCCCGTGGTGAAGCCGCTAGGCCAGGCCACCTCCGTGACTCCTCCGACATGTGGGCCACGCCCCCAATCTAATCTCCCAGCTCCCTGCACTGTGCGCTCCACTTCGGGCGTGATTGGTTCGTTTCTCATACTTGGCCAGGCTCACTGCATGCATCTGCATATTGTTTGGTTGCTTGTCTCAGTATAGCCTGGCCACACAGGGATGGTGTTTGGTTGATAGCAGTGCATACAGACTTTGGAGCCGAAAAAATGACCGCGCCTGCGCTCGCGTTGCATTGCTGCAGCCTGGCTCGATTGAAACAAACACCCACCGCGTTCCTCCTCAGCCTGGCCAAGGGGGGCATCTTGCATGAGCTGGGCCAGGCCCCAAACACCAGTCCAGGAAACCAAACGCACTGCGAATGCATGAGACGGGCCAGGCTGGTGCATATGCAGGGTACCAATCACGCCATTCATCGCCGTGCCCTGTCCCACGCCGTCTTCGCCCAGCCACGTCCCGCGACGCCATCGTTCACTGCTCCGAGGACGGAGTGCCTAGAAGGAGAAGGAGCGCCGCCTGTCCCTGCTGCCCTCCCCCACCGGGACTCCCTCCGTGCCACGTCGCCAGCGCACGAGGCAGGCCTCGCAGAGCAGGCGAGTCGGCGCTACTCCCTTCTCTACTAAAGAAAGAGCCCCCTCCCCGCTTTGACTTGCCCCCGCCGCTGTCGCCCTGCCCTCCTCAACACAGAGCAGGAGTGCCCTCGGATCCGTGCGTCTTCATCACCGCGGAGGCACGCAGCGGGCGTCGGTGGTAGGGGCAGCATAGATACGACCTCG